GAAAAAAGGGAGATATGTATGACTGGTAATTTACTCCTTGGTGACGAAGTTCTTGTGGAACCATCTATGTGTAAATAAAATTGATAAACTAAAGTTACAGTGGAGTGGACATGGCATGTACTCATGTGCCATCTCTGGCAGCAATGGGTTAAGATGAAAATGTTAGTTGTAACTAGATACCCATTCTTGTAACAGATAATGAACATTGCTGTAATTACTACTGAGGAATAATGCTTCCTGTCATAACTTGCCCTATTGCAAGTAGCCCATATTACAGGCTCCCATACTTTTAATAAGATTTTCTTCCTTTTCTCTTTTATGCTTCTGTTTTTTCATCACTATGATTCCCTGTTCTTGTTGATTCTATTCTCATTTCATGTATGTTTAGTTTTCCTTTCCTTTTGTGACTTTTTTTATTAGTACTTCTATCTCCCTGTTGCCTCTTGCAGCAGAGCATATGATTTATATTGGAAATATTTATATTGTCAAGAATCATTTTGTTAGTCATCCAGTTTCTCAGTTATTTACCATGATTTTTTAAACCTTTTTGTATCCTGAAGCTCTGAGACTGGCTGCTGTGGCACACATGACGTGGAATCCTCCATAGACAGCCTGAACCGCAACCAAGAGCCCAGCAGTGAGGGAGCGGTGCGAGCGGATGTCATTCCAGAGGAAACGGCTGAGAATGATGGAAACTCAAGCTCAGAATCCTCCCCTCCACAGCCAAACTCACCAACAGAGAATGCACTGCCTGTAGGTCCTAAGAGAGATTAGTATATCTTTCTTTCCTTGCTTTTTTCTTCTTTTTTTTCTTTTTATATGAAGTTTAAAGTAAAATTGTGATTTTTTAGATTTTTATGTTTATTATTATTATTTCATTTTATTTATTTGTATTTTTATTTTTATCATGTATTTATTTCTATTTTATTTTATTTATTTATTTACTGATTTTTTATTTATTTATTTATTTATTTATTTATTGTATTTTATTTTTTTTATTTTTTTGAGTGGAAGGGAGGGTCAGTTCTGCTTTTTCAAGCAACTCTTGGATGTATGGTTTCAAGCAGTTCTTGGATATAGTGTAAAGAAAAATATAGAAAGGTTCTTCCATTCTTTCATAATCAAACTTGTTTTGTTCCTAAAACTTAGAATTATTGGTGTATATTCATGATATATTTGTTTTGACTTTTCTAGTAGTCACAGAGTTCACTCTAGTTGTCTTTGCTTAGTTAACATATCTGAAAACAGTAGGCATATTTCTCGTTGAAGTGGACATTCTTTTCTCTACTTTTCTCCTTTACTTACAAGATATGATATCTAAAGAGTACAAATTTCATATTATGATCCCTTATTTCAGGTGAAAAAATATACATGGAGGATAACTTGGCTGAGACTGAAAAGTTTTGGCCCGGTTGGTTCCAAGGCTTGTCCAGTAAATTTCTCTCAAGCTCACCAGCAAAGATGTTATTGCTTGCAGGGATTGATAGACTGGATACTGACCTAACAGTGGGACAGATGCAAGGTTTGTTGTTTTCAATTTTTGGGAGTGAGTTGATGTGTAATATGGTTATTGGAAATGAAGGTAGTTTGAAAAGCAAAAAGGAGGGAAGAGGAAATAGCTTTGTTATAGTGGTGAATGAATTATGCATAGCAAAACTGAGCAGTTAGTAATGCTATCAAGAAGTACAGCATTGTCCATGACTGAGAAACATCTAAAGAACACCTTGAAAATTGACCAATTCTTTCATATCAATTGACTGATTGGCAAATGTTTGGTATAGGGAAGGAAAATCTTCAGGATAAAATTCCTGCTGCCCATTCACATGCCAAATAAGATGCAAGAACAGCATAAAGACAGAGGTGAAAAGTAAATATCATAAAAAGCAGTTAATCAGCAATTGTTATTTTTTCAGGTAAATTCCAGATGCAGGTTCTTCCTCAGTGTGGCCATGCTGTGCAGGAAGACACACCCGATCGTGTGGCTGAAGTCCTGGCCACGTTTCTCCTGAGACACAGACTGACAACTCCAAAGGCAGATTTCAACAGGCAAGTTGATTTTCTTCTTCTTCTTCCTCCTTTTCTTCTTCTGATTGTTGATTTAGATGCAGGTTGGAGAATGAGGGGGCAAAGTATAGTAAGGAGAGGGAGAGGCTGTATGTGAGGAATTCATAGTATATGAATATATTTTTAGTGGGAACTTAATTTTAATGGGCACACACCACACACCACACCTTACACCCCCTATATATATATATATATATATATATATATATATATATATATTATATATATATATATATATATATATTTATTTATATATATATATATTATATATTATATATATATATATATATATATTATATATATATGTATATATATTTATATATATATTATATATATATATATATATATATATATATATTTATATATATATTTATATTATATATATATATTATATATATATATATATTATATATATATATATATATATATATATATATTATATATAATTATATGTTTATATATATTTATATATTTATATGTTTATATATATTTATATGTTTATATATATATTTATATGTTTATATATATATTTATATGTTTATATTATATTTATATGTTATATTATATATATATTTATAATTTATATATATATATATATATATATATATATATATATTTATATATATATATATATATATATATATATATATATATATATATATAATAATATATAATATATATATATAAATATATATATATAAATATATATATACATATAAATATATATATTATATATATATAAAATATAATTATTTATAATATATATATATATATATATATATATATATATATATAATATAATATATATATAATATATATATATTATATATATATATATATATAGAGAGAGAGAGAGAGAGAGAGAGAGAGAGAGAGAGAGAGAGAGAGAGAGAGAGAGAGAGAAGAGAGAGAGAGAGACAGGCAGAACAGAGAGAGAGACAGAGGGGGAGGGGAGGGGAGGGGAGGGGGAGGGGGAGAGACAGATGGAAACAGAGACAGAGAGACAGAGACGGACAGAGAAAGTGTATATAGATATGTTCACAATGCTCTGTAAGGCTTGCCCTTGGCAATCACCCTGGAAATAGACACAGAAATTGATTACATTTGTGATGAAATAAATATTTATTTTGAAGAATATAAAAATGATGCAACCCCATTTTCTTTGCAGGAGTTTTCCCGCATGTTGAAAAGAATAACGATCACCACTCAACTGAAGAAATTGTTTTCATGTAGTGTTGCAGCTTTGCTCTCTACAAATTACTCAAACAGTGATTTCCCACTTTATGAGAATTCTGTCACTTAAAAATCGTCTTTGTGTGTCCTTTCTTGTATTAGACTTATTAGTATTGTGTAGCTAGTATGTGTATTTATGTTTATACTAAAGATATGTACTATAGAAAAAGTATATAAAAAAAGAAAGAAAGAGAGAAACAAAACAGGGAAGAAAACAGATGAGGAGAATTGCTTTAAGGAATTTACGACAGGCAAAAGGTTGTTTTGTTTGCTTTCAGTGTTTTTGTTTTGTTGTTGTTTTTTAATTTACCTTATTTGTGTGGCTATGGATGACACTATAGTCTAGCATTATTTTTCCGTCCTTTTCCCTTGTGGTATTCCCACCTGTGTCTGGATTGTGCTGTAGGAAGTTAGAAATCATGCGTTAACTACGGAATATTGTTTTTATAACTGCTTCCTTACGTTTTTTAGAAATTAGATTTGAATTTTGATATCAGTGAAAGCATAAAGAGTAATCTCGATAGTTGGGAGTACATTATTAGTGCCAAAGGGACTCAAAATTAAAAAGAATTAATTTTGAAATTTGATAGGTTGTTTGTAGGGATATAGATTACAGTCACTTCTTTTTGTATCTGAACAGTTGCAGAAGCTTTCCACAAGAAGTATTTGAGATATTTTCACATTTGCCAGTGCTCTGTCCATGAGGGGAGGATACTGTGTTTTTTAATTATTATTCATCCTTTATTAAAACAGTGTAGATCTAAGTGGAAATATTTGATAGTTGCAACAGCATTTAAGTTTGTGCTAATATTTAGTGAGTTTCAGGTCAATAATATGTAAGTTGCTGCTTGAATTAGTACAACTTTAAAGTTAAAGTGTCTGTAAGGCTAAGCACTTTTGTCCAAATATTTTTACCGGAAACAATTTGAAAATTACAAAAGTTGGGATGAAAGTAAATTTTGATGATATTTCTTTAGCTGAATTTATATATATTTTTTGCAGGCAATATATAAACTTGCTATTTATGTCTATATATATTTATAAAAAAAAAAAAACAGGATTGTTCATTATACTAACTTTGAATAACAAATGAAGAAGAATAAAAATTGTAGCATTCACAGTAGATGAGTGAAAAAAAATTTGCTTGAAATAAGTAAGAAATCTTTTTACATCTCTGACTGATAAGACTAGGGAATTTATTCATTTGAATATCTTGCAAGGGACAATTAGAGCTGATTCTCATTAAAATATTTGAAACTAGGAATAGTAAAGAATAATGAAGATGAGATATTGTGTAGGATGTACAGAAAATATTTTCACGACTAATTGAAATGATCAGTGCTAATGTTTTCCTTTATATTCTATATGTGTTGTTGTTGAGAAGAAAACACATATCACTATATGTATGAGAAACAGGCTGAGAATAAAGATTTCTTCATTATAATAATAATATATCAATCAGTGATATCAACTGATGAACTCTTTGAAAATGTTTTCCACAAGTGAATGAAATTGTTACGTGAAGTAGCTGTGATAAAGACATGCTATTCTCATGCTCATTCACAAAAATGAGACTTCTGTATTGTTAACAATGTCTGTTAATTTTTTTTTTTTCGGTTTTGATGCTACTGAACCCACATTATTAGTGTATCAACTAGATGAATGAAATAGATTACTAATTATGTGACTACCACAAAGAGCAG